AAATTAATTTAAATTAATTTTAAACGAAATTTAAATTTCCCCCACCTCGGAACCTCTTCAGGACCTTCTCCAGCACCGCGGTCTTGAGGGAGAAGTTGCAGACGTGAATCTTGGTGTCGGTGCTCACCGGGACGGGCTTCTGGCACTTCGCCTCCTCGCTCCTGACACCCCAAAAACGAGGAGAAAATCCTTGGAATTCCCCCCCCATTCCCACCTTTTTCGTGGCGTTCCCATCCGGGAGGATCCCGCCGGGATTTGGGGGCTGATTTTGGTTGGGAAATCCCCCCCCCCAGCCCCTCCAGGGTCATTTTTGGGTCGGGAAATGAGACATTTCGGGGGTTTCTGGTCCCGCTCGACCCTCGGAGGAACCTCCCGGCGGGAAAAGGCGGCGAGAATTCCAAGGGTTTGGGAGAGACCTGGGATTTAAACCCTCCCTGGGTTGAGAATTCCGGGATTTGGGGGCTGATTTTGGTTGGGAAATCCCCCACCCGGCCCCTCCAGGGTCATTTTTGGGTCAGGAAATGAAACATTTTGGGGGGTTTCTGGTCCCGCTCGACCCTCGGAGGAACCTCCCGGCGGGAAAAGGCGGCGAGAATTCCAAGGATTTGGGAGAGACCCGGGATTTAAACCCTCCCCGGGCTGAGAATTCCGGGATTTGGGGGCCAAATTTTGGTTGGGAAGGGGGGTCTGTGCTGGGTGATCCCCCCACCCAGCCCCTCCAGGGTCATTTTTGGGTCAGAAAATGAGACATTTGGGGGGTTTCTGGTCCCGCTCGACCCTCCCGGAACCTCCCGGTGGGAAAGGCGGCGAGAATTCCAAGGGTTTGGGAGAGACCCGGGAATTAAACCCTCCCCGGGCTGATCCCGCCGGGATTTGGGGGCTGATTTTGGTTGGGAAATTCCCTCCCCCAGCCCCTCCAGGATCATTTTTGGGTCGGGAAATGAGACATTTTGGGGGGTTTCTGGTCCCGCTCGACCCTCGGAGGAACCTCCCGGCGGGAAAAGGCGGCGAGAATTCCAAGGATTTGGGAGAGACCCAGCGGGTGGGAGGCGGATCCCGCCGGTGCCGGTGCCTCCCTCTGGCATCCGGGCCGTGGGCACCGACCTTTAAACGAGGGAAAAAGCCTGGGAAAAGGCCGGAAAATCGGGATTTCTCACCTGCTGATGACGCCCATCACGTCCTGGAGAGGGAAGAGAGAAGGGGAGGGAGTGAAATCCCTGAGCTCCCTTCCCCCAAAAACCCGTTTTTTCCCCCTTCCCGGTGCCTTTCGGAGCCCTCCGGAACAAACCCAAGAGTTGTTTTTTTAAACAGGAACATCGAGAGAACAATCGGGGTCGGGGTTTGTGTGGTTTGGACGCGTGGGAGGAATTCC